AAAAGGGTGCAGGATGATGTACACTCCGTGGACATAGAGAATCTTGCGAAGGCATGAGCGCACAATCGTCATCAGGATGGGATCTTCAATCCATCGGGAGTAGTTGCCGTCGGTGACTTCGTCAAAGATGGTCATGGAGTCGTTCACCAATTGACACAGCAGGCCTTTCAGGTAGAGCTTGTCTTCAGCAGTGAACTCCATAGAGTCAGGAACTTGTATCTCAACCTGACTCATGCCTCCATGTGCTCGTATGCCTCGTTGAAAGTCAGCTGTGGGACTTGAGGTGGCCGAAGGAGCTGCCGAAGGTTCCTTGAACATGCGACCATGACGACATTCTCCCGGAATGAAAGAATGCTCCATATCAGCTGCGGCAGCTCTGCCAAACTTGCAACGCTCGCACTTGTAGAGGACTTGGTGATAGGTCCATGAGTCAACCAAGCGCATGTGCAGAGTGTTGCGCTTCTGAAACCATTGAATGATGTCCTGGATGAGGGCCTTACAGAAGCGAGTCGGGTAGACAGCTGCCATAGCAGTGCGATTCTTGCCTTGATGTTGACCTTGTAGAGGTGCATGGGGCATTCCATTGTGTCCATTGCATCGACGAAGGCTGAGGCGTAGCTTGAAGTTCGCCTCAATGCCGGTGGCTTTCAACACTGGCTTCCGAAGCTCATCAACTGCTCCAAATGCACATTGATCTGCGCGGCGATGTTTTCGCCAGCCAGGGAACTTCTTGTTCTCAGCCATCACACTCTCTTCCCACATAGCTGAAGACAATGGCTGTTCCAGGAGGTAGCCTCGAGACTTCTTCACCTGTTCAGCATACAGGCGTTGAAGGAATACTAAAGCTGATCTGTCCTTCTCTCGATCTTGTAGAAGTTGATGTCGATCTCGTCTCGATGCGGCTATGCTCCAGAACTTGCAGCGAGGAGAGCCAAAGATCACTTCAGGCTCGAAGGTGGTGTAGGCGCTCCAAAGCATGTCTTGATGTGCTGGATTGCCAATGTCCCAGCCATAGCGGAAGTCGACAGGAAAACCAGCCATCAGACCAGCCAAAGTGCACAGGAGAGAAAATCGTCCAGAGCCGGAGAAGAGCTCCCAAATCTGCCACTTGACTCCATGTCGCTTGGCCTCCTTGAAACATGCAGGGAAGGTGTCTGGAGTCACAACTCTGCGATTGGAGTGGCGGTAGAACTCCTCTGGCATGGCCTTGTAGTCCTTCTTGAGCTTCTGCTGATCTTCTTGTGAGAGGTGAGGTGGAACAGAGTCATCAACGTACAGTGGAAGCTCACTCAGATTTGTGGCCATCAACTGAGATGTCACAACACTGTCTTTCTTCTCTTGGTAGTCCTTGTCTGCAGCCTCAACTCCTCCAGGTGTTGTGGAACATGAGGTGGCTGTTGTGGAACATGATGTGACCTGTTCAGGTGTCGTGGATCTTGGAGTGTTGTGACTTTGGCAACATTCGCACTTATGCTCCTTATGAGCGTCATCACATTGGTAGAGATTGTCTGCAGCCTCAACTCCTCCAGTGGAAGTGATATCTGAGGTGGATGATGTGATAGGTAATGTTGATGTGTCGTGGTCCTTGATCGGTGACGTGGAACATGAGGTATCAATGTCGTGGTTCTTGTTCTGCTCACTCATGAGACTAGTCAGCGGGCGATCATCTTGAAGGGATCGAACTTGTGTCCCATGAGTGCTCCACTGACGTTCCGGTCCTTGGGCAGTCACGTTCTGCCAGAAGGTGTATGCATGATCTGGCCATGCACGATGGGAGACGTCAGAGAGGTGCTTGATGAAGTGAAAGGCTTCAGGTTGCTGATCGCAGATGCCAGCATCTTCATCCAAAGGCAGCAGGTAGTGACCACTGTCAGTGAGAAGAACTCGGAAGAGGTTCATCTGCGGATGCTCGCTCTTGGAGGTGTCCCAGGCAACCAGAAGTCCATCATCGTTGGTGAACCATCGTGAGTGCAGTGAGGCGTACATTGCGCACAAAGCAGGGTTGCCAACCAGAGCGGGACAGCGGCTACCTTCTTTGCCAATGACATCGGCGGTGTAGGTGGCTTCCATGTTCTTGAAAGGCAGCTTCAGATGAACTCGTCCAAGAGCTTTGTCTGGCTGACCTGAGATGCCGGTGATAGTAGCATCTGATGCAGACCATGTCACTGCCTTCTGCTTGTCCTGGTAGCAGCTGGCCAGTAGGTCACGAAGGGTCTCGCTGCCAACCAAACCTGCGGCAGCACCAGGGTCAATCAGCAAGCCACGGCGTTTAACGCCTTTCACCATGTGGTAGACCTCAGAGCTTGCATGAAGATGGGTGGCAAAAGCAAGTTGCTTGCGAACTGGCTCAGATGGAGCTGGAGCTTCTTCATCTTCTTGATCTTCGGCAAAGGTCACTTTCTTCTCTTGCCAAGGAAGCAACTCTCCAGTCCTCGGTGGTGTCATATGGATGGGCTTCACCTCAGTGGTAAAAGATGATGAGGCTGGAGGACTCAGAGAAAGTCCTTGTTCAGGTTGACTTCGTTGGGCACTGTAGTCGATGTCGTTGAAGTAGCCCTTGTTGCCACCTTTGAACTTGCCTTTGCCCTTGAATGACTTGCTTTTGCTCTTGCCCTTCTTTCCTTTGCCCTTGCCTTTGCCTTTTGGCCTCCAGGAGGATTTTCCTCCTCCATAGCCGCCTCTTCCTTTGTCTCTGACGGGACATTGTGCGGCCAGGTGCCATCGACTGCCACAAACATGACAGCCACTCTTCTGCTGGTAGTAGTCCTCGTCCTCATAGTAGGTCTCAGGGGCTTCAGCAGCTTGCTCTGTCTCATGCTGGTCGTCATGGATGACATACTCCTCAGGGGTGTGCCATTCTGATGCCGTAGGCGACCAGGAATCATCTTCTTGCCACCATTCATCCTCTGCATAGCCAGTCCAGGGATCTTCTGGATAGGCTTGCCAAGGGTCATCTTGCCATGACCAATCGTCATAGTAGGTGTCGTAGTCCATGGTGTTCCATGACGAGGATGGAGTGGAGAAGAACTCAGAGGCCTGATCAGGGCAAGGGACTCATTTGCGACACCAAATCTGACTCATTTGCGACACCACCACCCCCCTGTATTCCTCTCATGTACGACACCAAATCTCTCTCATTCGCGACACAGACACATACACACATATGATTGCAAGCATTAGGTTGGGTGGGACATTAGGTTGGGGTGGGGCATTAGGTTGGGTGGGGGGGTGGGGTGGGGTGGGGCATTAGGTTGGGTGGGGGGGGTTTAGGGGTGGGGTGGGACATTAGGTTGTTGGGCTTCAGAGTTTAGAGTGGCATTTGGTGGAATTGGTGTGGAGCTGGATTGGAGCTTTATGACTTTATGAGAACCCAGCAAGGGCCCAGAAGCACACAGATTCTCTAAAAGAAAAGCTCTCCGCGTCACAACTGAGAAAAGCTCTCCGCGTCACATTCGAGACAAAAACACGCGTCACAACCGAGACCCTTTCCCTTGATCAGTATACAGGTCCTGGGACAGAACATGCTGGTCACTCCGATTGCTCAGGCGCAAGGTCAGGCGCTTGGCTTCCTCAAAACGAGACATGTCGCCTTGGATCTGGATCTTGACATCCTCAATGAACTTGTTGGGCAATCCAGAACTTTGGAAAAATAGGAAGCTCTTGGCGACGTCGTTGATCTCCAAGCCTGAGTGGCGCTGAGCAGACTCATAGCGAAGCTCCCATTCTGATGCATATTCGTGCATCGAAAGTTTACCTCTTTTGAAGAGGAAAAATTGCTCCAAACTGTGGGTGGCCAACTCCTGGTCAGACTGACCGAAGGTCTCACGGAGGGCGTTCGCGAGAGCTTGAACTCCACTTGGGATTGCGTGCTGCAGGATGACGTTCGGGTCCATGGGGTCTCGAACTTCGTCCGTGGTTAGCCGAACGAGAGCACTGTCTCCCACATCGTAGGTTCCGTCAGGGCGAACCAGTTTGAGACCCATGGCAATCTTCTGGGCTCGTCCTTGGAGACGTCCTGCAAGTAGAGGACCTACTTGTTCGTCAGGGCCTTGGTAGAGTCTATACCAAAGGCGGAGTTTGTCGAAATAAGACTTCAGGCTGTAGTCGGGAAGGTTCGGAGCCCAACCAGGTGGTACGTCGCGACGAAACTCAGCCAAAGGTATGCCAAGGAGCGGCTGGGCCATCGTGAACAGATCACGGGCAAAGTCCCGGTACGTGAAGGTGTCCTGAATCGGGTAGTCCTGCAAATTCAGGGAGATGTCAATGGTCAGCGTCTGATTCAGGAAGATGGAGTGCAGGTCAGTCACCTCCAGGGTCGTGTACTCGGGAGCTTTCACGGGCGCAAAATTGGCTGCTTTCACAGGTGCCCTCGGAGCCGAAGAACACATGCACAGGACCAAAATGGCCAAATTTGTGAGACAGCAAAAAAGGATCGTCGTCGTGGCGGCGACGAGAGCGAAGCAGCGCGGGCAGCGCAGCGGGCCCGGGATCGCGCCGGGCGGCGCCGAAGGCGCCAGGCGGCCAATGGCGAAAGCAGGAGCCCCGGACGGCCGGGGCTCCGCTACCAAAGTCGGTAGGACGGACTTTTGAACCAGCTCAAGAGCGCTCTGCGATCGTGAAAAGGTGTCATGACAAAAAGTGACATCAGTGGAAATCTTTAAACTGTTCTATTCAAAAACTGATGCAGTGTGCTACCCCTCCTTTTCGATAATTGTTTTCTTTCTGCTTATCTTGGCTTGATTGGTTACACTCACGTCTGCTTCCTTTAATGATTTTTCTATTTTGAGTGCCTTGACATAAGTATCTCTTTATGTGTAGACAGAAGACCTTTTCCTAGTTTTGAGGTCTCGTGGAGGGGGCACCACAGACAAAATACTTATATATCTACTATGTCTATAATATATATATATATACTTATGCAGTATACACACAGCGATACTTTTCTATCTGTCCCAAGTATTCCAGAAGTAAAATATCCAAATTTGCTCCTTCCAAGGGGCAAAATCAATGAGCTCTTGGGAGGGTCGGCGCCCATCGCCTCAAAACTCAGGTGGGAAATCACCGGATTAATTCAAAAGGTATGCAGCAGCGAACGGTTCAGGTTCACGTCACTCAATGTCGAGCGGTGAAAGAGTTCCAACCTCTTGAAAGCCTGGATGTGTCCTTGGCAGAAGGTGAAGTGTCTGGGCATGGGCCCAAAGTTTTGGTGGAGAAATTGTCAGAACCTTTTGATTCTCCAAACGCTTTTGGTGTACAACGGTGTGTTGATTGAACGGTGCAGGCATCAAAACAGATCTCCCGCTTGTGCACGTGGGCCTCTTTTTAACACACCATGCAGCTATAGGTCTGATCAGAATACTTGACTGGTGTCATGGCCATACCATTTGGTATGCCAGCAGACAAGCTTCATCTATCTTCCTCGGCCCTATCTGTCTGCAAACCATCCATGAAGAAGAGGACTGACTATTACTTCTGAGGCTATTCCTTATATTTGATCCAACTAGGTGGTTTGACTGCGTTTAGCAGGAAGAACGGAGATTTATCATACTCCTCTACAGTTTTAGGGTACAGCACGTGCTTTCAGCAACGTGGAGCAATGTTTACTGCAAACCTCAGGGTGGGTGATGCAACATCCAGCAAGCTGCTGAATGGGTTTAATGCTTGAGAATGCGACACTGAATCAACAAGCAACGTATATAAGTTAGTCCCTTAGATCTCTAATAGTTAAACAGCATGCATTTGTGCACGATCGTGATTCTTTGCACTGTGACTATCAAATATGACTCAAAAAGCTTCTGCGGGCTTGTAGGGTGACGAAGTGCATCCATCAAGAGGAACAGGCAACGGGTAGGGTCAGCCGGGAATGTTTTGAGTGGTTTGGTTCATGGAGCATGTACTCTTGCTTTGACAAACAAGCAAAGAACTCTTCCACCAGCCTTGTATTCCAAAACCAGCATATAGCGAGCTCCCTCAAGGGTTCTGCCACATTCAAAGCAAACATTCTGCTTCTTTCTCTTGAGCAATCGGACATTAGCAGCGTTGATGACATCTGGAAGGCATTGAAGCAGCACATCTTTGATCCAGTTTTGAGCGGTGATCTGGCCAGAGCGACCGTGGGTGAACGAAGAATGACCGTCAATTCTGATCCAGTAATCCAGTAATTCATTCTATCAAAATGTGCGTGCATAAATAAACTGTTGCACATCAAAATGTGAGATCACAAGCCAAATGTTCCTCAAAGGCAAAACGATTCTACTAGTGGGCCCAAATCTTCCCTTGCTCCATCCCCGTGACCTCCTGTATCATACCTGTACCATCGTCACCTACCATCATCACACCCGCTCCGCTCGGCTCCTTCCTTCGCTCTGCCCCGCTGCCCCGAGCCAAGGGCCTGGTTCATAAAGGGATCATCCTTGAAGGCTAACATTCTGTCACGATCCCAGAGGATGATGCCGCGGCCCACCTTGGCCACCAACTTGGAGCAGGTGTTCATCACCCGACTGTCCCGCTGAAGATCGAACTGGATCTGCTGAGAGCTAAAGACCTCAGGACCGTGTGAGTGATGTCATGATTTGATGTCCCTGAAAACCATGTTCAACAACTCAAAGTCGTTCGCCCTCATCAGCCGTTCAAAACTGGGTTCCTTACACCCACCTTCTGTCAACTATCTTCAAGTACACCTCAGCCTGTTCGGGGGTTCGGGGCTCCCTGTTTCGTGCCAAAAAAACATCGGAGTAGTAACTACAGTGCAAGTACTCCTCCTCTGGGGCAGTCGACACCTGTCGACGACACCTTCGCGCCCAGCGACGGCCCGAAGGCTGCGCTTCAATGCTTTGAAGTTTGAGATCCATTCATCACCGATCCAGAACTGCAAAACCACTGGCTTCCCTGGCTCCTGAGGTTGGATCTGGACGTCCACACGTGTGAAGTCACGGTGAATTGACATAGACTCTGTAAAAGGCAGTGATTCTGGTCAAACTCCTGATTCTTGCTCAAATCCCTTGGGGTTGGAAAGTATGAAAAGACAAAAAGAACCAAATCCTAAGAGATTACGACAGTATATTATACCGCATACCCTGGTACTCTTGTAGAGCACCTTCCGGCCATGTCACGGTCTCCATGAGAGGTTTCTTCGGAGCAGTGTAGGTTCCATTGATGATCCCAGCCGCCACTTTGCCAGTGAGCTCATCGCTCACCTGTTAAACCGAGATGGATGAATCGATCCCAATAGATGCAAATCATATGAAATCAAACAAAATCTATGTTCCAACATGATTTGTTTGGGGTGTAATCAATACTCTTCATTCAAAGTTAGGACGTTCTGGGAAGTTCCGTGTCGTTTTACAGCGTTTCACACCTGGACACTGCAAGTATTGTTTTGCAGGGTTGGCACCATCGGGGGATCCGTTCTTTTGTTCAGAGTCAAAGCCTTGGAACTTATTTTGAAAGCGACTCATACGGTTACATAGTTAAGTTATATGGAGTATATCAGCATGTATACATATAAATATATTTATATTATATACAGTAAGAACAAGAAGCTACTAGGTTGGAGGCCACTACTACTAGTAACATACTAGTTCCCGGATGTCCACTTTCGTGGCCGAAAGGAACATCCACCGTGAGGAAACCCGGATGTGCCACGAACATCGGATGCCTGCGACGACCTGATCCGACCCAGCTGGGTGTGTTGCCATCGGTTGGAGAAAACTAAAGCCCATTGATTGGACGGACATACACACTTTTTTTGAGACAAACTCATTACAGAAGCCCGTAAAACTTCAGATGGTGCCGGGTCCCACAATGAGGAAAATCCAAAAGCTGCCCAGCCTCTGCCTTCAACAGGTGCAATTCACGGCCAGGATGAATCCAATTGAGGAATTCCTCACCATCCTTGGTATGAAAATGCCGGCACAACGGTCGAGGGTCACAATGAAAACCATTGAAAACCTGATGTCCTACCAGGTCCTACCACGTTCAGTGCCATGGCATGCCATGGCTCAATACCACCTGATCGATCTGCATCAATGAATTCGTGCAGCTCATCCGAGGCTTGACGGGACAGCATGCCAGGACTGAACTTCTCCACAAAATTCCAGAACTCCTGGCTCTGGAAGCTTCCGAGATCTTTTTTTGCCTCCAACTAGTCTGACTCCTTTCGTGAGTTCAAGCGAGATTGAAACACTCTTGCCGGAGCTTTACATTGCTTGATTGCACTCATCTGTGCTAGTAGGTTTCAAGTCCCAAACATTGTCACCATGTCCTTTCTCCGTCTTCAACTATGTTCCACCGCTAAAAGGAACAACAACAAAAGCTTTGTTTTTCACCTCGCCAACTGCAGAATTCCCAGTCCTCTTTGTCAATACAACCATTCTCATCCTTGTCCATTTGTTCGAAGAGAGCTTTCACCTTGGCCTCTGGCATGACTTCCAACTTCCGCCGCACGGAGCTCAGGAAGCTGCTGTTTGTCTGGAAGACCCACCCGAGAAACTCTTCTTTGTCGATGTTTCCACTGCCGTCCATGTCGATCTCATTGAAAATGTTGTCGCTCTGCACTCGCGGGATCTCCTCCTGCAAAAACGGAAGGACAAGACGAAGAACCACCGTCGAGCGGAGGACCATCAGGTCTTGGAGCATCCCCGGGTAGGAGATGACAAAGGCTCCATCCGTTCGACAGTCTCTGCCAAACGTCCACGTTCACTATACTATAGTTCCCCCCCAAAAAAAGAGACAAACTACTTTGATCCCAGCAATCCATCCTAATCCATCTTCTGAGAAACCTCCGAGGGGGATCCATTGGTGTGCTGTTCAGATTTCGCCAAGGAAAACTTCTTCCGTCCTTGTCTCTGGAGGCTGCCGTGAGCAGATGATAAAAACCCAGTTTATCCAGCTCCCCAGTCCTGTGGCACAAAATCTGCGAAGCCACCACGCATTCGCGGATGACAAGATTGTTTTTCACACCATGACTGACACCTCAAGTCTTATGATTTGTTTCTATGCAATCTCCTCAATAAGAAATGTGTATCTCTTATTTCTATACTTTTTACATATTTCAATCAACCTTCTCCGCTCAAACAGATTCCGGTCCTTCGGTCAAAAAGGTGAAACAACTCGATGGCGCGCCAATAATCCAACTTTCGAATGCTAGGTGGGAGGATCCTTGGTGAGGCTGGCAGAGGCTAGAAAGACTCAGAAGCTTTAGACAAGGCTTGGAGTCCACTAGAGTCTAGACTAAAGTGACTAAATGGATCAAAAATGGCTTCGGGATTTTGCCGCCAAAACTGTTTCGCCAAGAGGGCGAGGATCCCAGTCTTGTGCTCTTCTCCAGCGCCTGCATTCAAAAGCTCCATCTCATCCTGCCAGCAGTATGGCATGTTTCGTTCTCTTGGATCTAACATGATCTAGCTCAACACTCAAGCGGTTCCTTCGTCAGCACTCATCAAATTGCTGCTCGCAACAAAGGCATCGCTTTCAACATCTTTCAACTCAACCGTCCTTGCTGTTCCAGGTCTGCTTTCGTGTGAAGGGTGTGCTGAGGATGTCTTTGGAATTGTGGGACGGCTGTCGTGGTGTTGCATATGCATCCACCTGCACAATACCGCAAAGGAAAGCTTCAAGTGGATTCATATCAAGCTGCTTAGGACGACCTATAAGTTTACATTCCACATCAGGCCCAAACTGGAATGTTTGACGCCTTCACAAGTCTTGAGACCCAATTTTGCGGCCTCTAAAAGAAACCCTCGGTACTGCTTGTTCAATCGGGGAACAGAACGGAGTGTCACGACCATAGCGCGCGCGAGTTATGATCAGATTTAGCCTCCATCTTGTGTCCATCATGAAGCTGAAGCTGCAGGTTCTCCAGTGGAGGCAGGTTGGGTGCAGACGAGGCCTCTCCAAGTCCACCAGGATTGTCGGCACCGGTTTTCCCAGGGCCATCCAATTATATAATCAACAAAGAATGACAAAGAGACCCGTATTTTTGTTCATGAACATCCAACTGGCCATGCACGCCCGTGAGTTTGTCACATTGTCTCACAG